GCTGCAGCTATCTACCAGATTAAAGGTCATGATGGTTCGATCCATGACAATCAATTGGAGACGTACAGAAATCGGAGGTCAGCATCACCAGATTGGCCCATGAGCCACCGCCTTCTGTGCATGAGTCTGCAAGACTAATTTGTTTTGGTAGAATATCAGTTAACATTTTGAACATGGCATATAAACAACACCTTTACAGATTCGTTGCGAATTTCTTGATTTCTCAGAAGGCTGATTATACAGCTTCATTTTTAACTCTGCATGTTAATTACACAACATTAATTTGTACTCAGAAATCACTTGTTTATACATAACGTAAATACAGTGATTGTAACGTAAAATACATTATATCATACAAGGGCTAAAGGATGCATGAGCTAAAGGATGCATAATTGGAAGTTAATACCCTATGAATAGACAAATCAAACACAATTTAATGTTCATTAAAAAAAACATTTCAAAATACATATAATTTGTTGCAAGTTAAATATGTAAATTTATAGATGTCGTGCGTAATTTACGGACATTTGCGTAATCCCCGAGAATGGGCGACGCTCTGCCCAAACCCTGTCATTAGGCAATTAGTAGTGCTTAATCCCATGGATTGAGCAGTTAATTAATCTGCGTAATCCCATAGATTGAGCGGTTAGTTCCCATGAAGTAGAATTGTAAAAACACAGGAGTGAGCTTGGAGGGATTACCTTCAAGGCCTGGTGATCTGGAACAAAAGCCTATGTTTTTACAGGAACACGGTTGATAAGAAAAGTTGAAGTGGTAAAGAAATAAAATACATCTAAACTGATATTTGACATTTCATGACATAATTTATTTGGTGTTACCACAATTAATCACAAGGTGAAACATAGCATACGAAATATCACCAGGAACCGTTCTCCCGAGTCTGTCCTCTGGTAAACATGTGGGATGGTGATGTCCTCCCTGCATTTGGGAACAGCGAGGAAGATAGACCGTCTGGCCTTGTATAGTTGGTTCTTCACCATATGGAACGTATGGAATTATACTTTACTATTTCACGAAACATTACTATATTACATTGCATGCATGACAATATTGCATTCATATTACACAATTCTAAATACCTATTCGATAGCAAGCATTAAATCTTTTAATCTTTTTATTACATACCTTTATATCATTCTGCACTCGTTCATGGCTGTGTGCTAAAGTAATTTGCAGGCTACGACATCATTGATAGTTGACATTGTAGCAGTTTAAAATGTCTAGAAATACATCGCAAGAAAATCCATTCGTCTGCCTTCCTCTTGTTTACTCTGTACATGTAACTTGTAATCGAACTGTCCGAGTTTGTGTAGTTAGAAACCCGGTTGAGCTTATGTTGACAATGAATAGTGATTCATTGACAGACAGACAGACAGAGAGACAGATTTATTCAGTATAAGGCCTTTGGCCCAAAATACATACAATATAGGGTTACAAAATATCCCTGCGCATAATACATATTTATATACATTCCATAGCATAAAATAGTACAAATGCATGATATGAATATATTATATATTACTTTGCCTTATTTGTTGTGCTTTAAATAAAAAGATTGAAGTGTTATGCAGTGGCAGTTTATTTGGTGTAATTAGGAGATAAACCTACTGTGTGGGAAAATCAGAGGTATATAACGAAATTATAATAGCTCTAAATTTCATTTAAAACCGAACGCGTAGCGTGAGGTTTTAAATGAACAATTTAGAGCTATTATAATTTCGTTATATACCTCTGATTTTCCAACACAGTAGGTTTATCTCCATTCTACCATGACAATTTTATGAACAATTTCAGGTGGAGCTCTTTCTTTGGTTACGAGTCAGTACGTGAAGCGGCCTCGCATTCCAATCCCAAGTGGCATCGCCCGAAACGGGGTGATTGGTGGCAAACCGTCAATGACTAACAAACTCCAGATTCAGTAATAACAAATCACGTTTTGTTTATTCAATGCATCAATCACCAATCATTAACTGATAAGTTGGAAAACACATATCAAATAAGTTTAAAAGCTTGGTTCACATTTGAAAATTCCACCGTAGACCCTTTCCCCACCAGAATAATGGCAGCAACCTCATGGCATTGACCTTTTCTCGGAAGTCATTGTTTACATTTACGTGCAAATTTGGAAAGATGCGACAGGAGAGCCTCTGACAGTTTGCGCAAGGTTAACCTGATTGTATGACTGAGATAGTCTTTGATATCTAATTACTGGTACTGGTACACAATTTAAGAGTAGAGGCGCTTTTGCTGTAACGAGAAGTCCGTGTTGTACCGAATTTAGATACTGTTGAGTTTTGCGCCCTGTCAACTTGACGATTTCGAGCACCTCTACGTCTGCGTGCGACAGCTGTGGTGACTCTTACACACTCATGTGTGTACTTTGTGCTCAAATTCGATTCTACGGATATTACTTTCTACATTTGGGAAAGTGTTTTGTGTCCTAGTGGCTTAAAAGTGTAGCGAATTCAAATTGAATCGGATTCGCTGGCATGTTCGCGAGTCTGTTGACAAAGAGCCAGATTTGTGGTGATATTTCCGAAAGGATGGATCAGGACATGAGGGTGTACCTCTGGCATAAACACGGTAAGGTAATTAATTATACTTTAAAAGACTACTTTAGATCAAGCAGTGTAATGGATGAGAGGGATCATGACTAAGCTAAATAACTTTCTCAACGATATTATACTTTTAGAAAAAAATATGTTGGGCTGAACAGAACGGTTTTCAGATTCTGTATTTGTGTTTTACTACCGCTAAATTTGAAACAGTACAAACTTCAAAATATCATTTTGTTTGAATTGATAACCCAACTGTTTATTTATGTGGACGGAAGCCATTAAACTTTCTTCGGCGTTCGATGTTAATGTATCCTCCGTTACCGGATCAAGATCAGTGGCGATATCGTTGACGAAAGCTGATAATAAATTTAACACGGAAATTATGTAGCAGTCTATTGCTGGATCTATTCTGACATAACATAGAATCAACGTAAACATATTTGTTTTTGCTGCATTTTAATTCGGAAAGCAGACGATGTTTTGATCTTGTTCGACTGAATATTTGTTTCCATGCTTTCGAAATACTTTTATATGTATAAACACCTATTGCTGTGATTTACTCAAGTAGTGAGTCGAGCCCGTCATCGCTAAATCCATCTTTAACGCCATATGTGTAATTTCCGACAGCAAAATCGCCGTAATTTATCGATGCATCGGTAGGTTGTTTGGTGTCCGCCATGTTGGTGGGCAGACAAAAATAGTGCATTACCGTAAACCATGTATGATTGCGCACGGAAAATCAGAGACCTGTATAACGTGATTATATCCCTCTGAATGACTTTAATTAACCAATCACAATCCAGTGTTTACTGAAGTCATGGTTGAATGTAATTTATGTTACATGATTTTTACACTGACACATTACACACTCAGAGTGACATTTTATTTGCAACTTTGACTTTACTATTAATATTATAAGATACTTATGAATAATTCAATATACCGGAACCAGTTGTCTGTCTGTCCCAGGGGCATGCTAAACATGCCATTTGTTGTTTACTTTTACGTTTTATGTATTTTTCTACTGCAAGATACTATTTGCTTTAGAAAATATGCTCTACAATCTTCACAGTTTGAACATGGTTTTCTATCTTTTTGCTTACACGTATATATGAGATGAATATTGCACTGCCCACTGTCCGCGGCTTTGTATTGTTTATACTGTTTATTAGTCAAGATAATGGGGGTTGATATATGCCAGTATTGAATGGCAGTTGGGCTTTTTGCATCTATTCTTTACGTTACAAACCGACGCCGTTTTGATAAGTTCTGGTGCTTTTGTATAGTTCTATACTTATGTGTAGGGGTTCGTTACTTTTTAACAATATCAATCCCCCTGCTATGCTCTGGGAATATCCACCCAAACCCGGGACCTTTGTTCACTATCGTGCATTTGAACGTAAGGAGTTTAAAGGATAAGGTTGACTTAATAATTGCAGAATATGGTAATAATGATATCATTTGCTTATGCGAAACTTGGTTACACCCTGACATTTCAAACGACGAAATTATGATACCGGGTTTCCATCCACCGATTCGTAAAGATAGGCCTACAAGAGGAGGAGGGGTAGCAGTATACGTAAAAGATAATCTGTAATTTACTTATGTTGCCGATCTTGATCTCCCAAACTTAGAGGCGGTTTGGATTGAAGTGATTGTAAACAATAATAAATTGCTGATTGGTACATTCTATAGAGCGGACCTCAGGAACCATTACTGGGATTTAATTGATGAGTCATTCGCGAAAGCTGCGGATAAAAACACTAAAATAGCGATTATAATTACAAACATACTTTACATAGAGACGCGACCGTTTTCAACTAACTATGTAGCATGAACAATATCTGATGAACACTTGATCACGTTTTCTGATTATCTTTGGATGTGCATCATATCATTTAGAGAAACATTTTGTGATGAGAATAGCGTTACGCACAGACTGGCGAGGTTATGATCATTTTAGAAAATAGGACTGCACCTCTAACCGAGAGTTTAATTACCAGGCCTACCATACAAACGGTGAACAAATCATCAAAACTGAACTCATATACATCAAAACAGAAACCTCCCAAACTGCAACAATATCCTCTAAAACCGAAACAATACATCTGTATAGGAAGACTAATCGTTTGAAATGGAAACAAAACTCGCGTATCAGCTACAAGATTAGGGCAGGGATTTCTGTTTCAAGTCCACAGGAGGCGACTTCTTGAGGGTGTCGTACCTGGAAGTAGACATTTGTTATTACAGTAAAAATCCTTTGATGTTCGGCCGAGGTAGATACATGTTGTTTTAAAGGATTAATGAGATGGGTGACACTAAAACTTGAACTGGTGAGTGAACTCGGAGTTCACTAATTAGTGATATGAACTCACTAGTTCTAACTATGAACATAGTTCCTGATATGAACTCACTAGTTAAATGACAAACCAGCAGTTAGACTATAAGTTTCTCCCGACTTCACGTGGTGGACGTTATCTAGTTGTTGAAGGCTTTGTGTTTCGATTGAATCGAAGACGCAACGATGCTTCATGGGCATCTTGGAGATGCCAGGAGAAGACATGTGCTGCGACTGTCTCTACTGTGAACGACATCATCACCAAGCATCCCAGCCCACATAACCATGGACCTGTCCATAATGAGATAAAGGTATGTTGTGCGTAAATGTATCTATAAATTATAATATTAAAATGGTATAAAGCTCTGCTACATTTGTTCATTATTTGCACAATTTTAGACAGATGTGCTCGAAAAGCACTTCATTAGATTTATGCAGCCATAACATTACATTAATTTTGGTTATATCTTATTTACAGGTCAGAGAGACACTGGACAGGATGAAGATGGTGGCCAAGTCATCTCTGGGTCCGATACCGACGCTGTACAACGAGGTTCTGGCCTCAGTGAGCGATGGTCCTTGGACGGAAGAGAACAGGTCGTTCATCGCAGAAATGCCGACGTACGACACCGTCAAGAACAGACTGTACCAGGCCCGAAGATCCACCTTCCCACCCATCCCATCTTCCCGACGAGAAATCGTGATCCCAGACGAGTTCAAAACAACCAACGCTGGCGAGCCCTTTGTCATCATCAACGATGGCGACGACGATAAGATCCTTGGCATGACGACAACGGTGAACATGCAACATCTTTGTGCTGCCGAAGTTGTGTGTATGGTGACGGAACCTTTATGTCTCACCATCACTCTTACTGCAGCTGTACACTCTCCATGCTATGGTTGGTGGTCAGATGTTTCCGCTGGTCTTCTTTTTGCTGCCAGACAAGGCGACTGTTACTTACGACCGCGCCTTCCGTCTCCTGAAGGAAGCAGTGGAAGCAAGAGGACTTCAGATGTCACCTCAACACATCCAGGTAAATTGATTTACATAACTCTTAATAAATGATAGTCAGTATTCATGTAGTTATTCATTATTATTAATTATATAATAATTTATTCAATTAACTTATCATTATTTGTAAAACATGGTAAACGTATTCATTATTTCCACATTTTAATCATTCCAGATGGACTTCGAATCTGCAGCGAAGAATGCCGTCTCCGTCAACTTCCCGACGACGCTGTGGAGGGGGTGTCTATTCCACTACACACAGTGTGTGTGGAAGAAGACACAAGGGGTTGGCCTTCAGGGCGACTACAACCACGACGAAGACATCACCCGCTTCGTAAGGCGTGCTGCTGTACTGCCTTTGGTGCCCGTGACAGATGTAAGTATTGCATTGCATTGCGCCTGAATTGGAATCGGATTTTATTATTATAAATCATATATTACTATGCTTAAACTATGTCATTCATTTTGTGTACTTCGCGGCTGATGATCAATAATAACAAATTATGTATTCATAAAATAATCTTGTGCTTCCAGGTAGACGACGTGTGGCTGAACGCACTTGCAGACATGCCTGACGACCCTCGCTGCCTCCGTCTCGCCGACTACGTGACCACCCAGTGGGTGGAAGGACATATACCCCAGACAGCGTGGAACCACTACCAGAACACCGGTCCAAGAACCAATAACCACCTGGAAGGTTGGCATGGTCGCCTTAAGAAAATTATTTCTAAGGCTCACCCCAATGTCTTCGAGATGTTGTCTTTCCTCAGGAAAGAGCAGAAACTGAACGAAATCAAGCTTGTTCAGTACGCTGCTGGGAGGAAACCGCCACCAAAAAGGAGGAAGTACATCCATGTCAAGTCAAGACTAGAGACTCTGAAGCAAGAACTCCGAGATGGTGCCATGAGTGTCATGGTTTACGCTTATGCCGTGTCGCATCTAATGAAGTTACAGTGAACTGACATTTAGTGTGTGACTTTGAAGTGTGATGCAGTAGACCTAGTGCTAAGTACTGAATGCAATGTTAATCATGCTTTGTGTATATTATTATTTAATTTATGTATGTAATATTAATGTAAATGAACTAATAAAATAAAATAGTGATACCTGATACTTGTACATGACAGTGTTGACAATATCATTTTTGTGATATTTGTGTATATTTATTGAACTTTATTGTATACATATGACTTATGAAATAAAAGTAAGAACGAAACTATGCTATGTATTTTGTTTTTACCTTGGGAATGGTTTGCGGATGTATTCCATCTATTTACCAGTTAACATTTTTGTATGACCCATGTGGTTGAAATAACATAGAACCTCCATTGTTCTCTGGAGGCAGTGGACTTGAAAATCCTTACATGCTCCACTGGTTTGTTGTTTTAAACATCACAAATGTCTACTTCCAGGTATGTAACCTTCTTGAGGCTTACAATAACAAAGACGGACGCATGTTTGTACCTCAAGTTAAGCTTTATTTTTACTAAAATATAGTAATGTTTAATGTTTAATGCCTCCTGTGGACTTAAAACAGAAATCCCTGCCCTTATCAGTGGATTGAGTTTGCACTCGTACACTTTAAAAATGATCACTTATATATGCAATTCACGGAAAATGAACAAAGTTTTTGTAAACTTTTTAAATCACTAAAACATAGTAATGTTCATATACGTATATGTGTATTTGTTGTTCACAAGGTTAACTGGAGGTTTGTGAATTTCCACACGAGTTTGGGGATATTTTACAAACGTAAGCTAACATTTGTTGACAACAATACGTGCTTTAACATAAAACCTTACTGGGAACTAGATGACCTAACAGTGTCATTTGAGCGATCAGTAGAAAATTGTGTTACCTAGCTTGTGATGCAATATATTACTACGCACATATTTGTGACATCATAGATATCTGTGCACATTCCAGGAAGTTTAGTTTCATGATTTGTGGCAACTGAAATAGCATTATTTTAAATTATAAAGTAAGAATGACATAATAATGATAAATAGGTTATCACACTCGTGTGTTTTGTGATGGTTAATATCCTGCATTAGGAATAAACACTAAGTATTTAGCGAGCCAAGGCTAAAGGAAAAAGGAAAGGAATTAGGAATAATTATTTACTAAGAATTACTAAATACAGTGCTTATTCATAATGCAGGATAGTAACCATCCCAAAACACACTCGCGTGATAACATATGTATACCTTGACTGTTTCATATTTTTCATTCACCCGATAAAGGAGTTAGAATATACTCCGAAACGTCCTGTTCTCAAAACGTAGAAGTTAACATCCATAAATTCTCGCCTTTAAACGTATCCACATTCATGGCTAAACGTAATTTCGCCACCGACAAATAACCTGTAATAAGAAATATGTTGCTAGTTCCCACATTGAAATAACCCTCTTATGAAAGAAGTATGTAATGACCGACAACTTAGTATGTAATGACCGACAACTTACCTAAACTTCCAAACAAGTGTAGGTCTTCCTTCGCTGAAGTTTGTCTGTTCACAGATATAAGTTCTTTGTCACCCTGTCAAAAGCCACCTACATATTTTCCTGTGTAATTATTCAAAACACGTGTATACCCTGGCGCCGTCAAGTGACTCAAGAAAGGCTCCAGTTCTCGCGGGCGGTGGGGTAGCCTAGTGGTTAAAGCTTTGGCTCTAGTGGTTAAAGCTTTGGCTCCGGGTTCGATTCCCCACATAGGTACAATGCGTTAAGCCCATTTCTGGTGCCCCCCGCCGTGATATTGCTGGAATATTGCTAAAAGCGGCGTTAACCCATACTCACTCACTCCAGTTCTCGCAATGTTATAGGAAAATTCGTGTGGAGAAGACTGATATACTGTTTGAATTTACACTAAACTTGACGTTCAATCTGCTAACAGCTTGACTCTGGCTGGAGATGTGTTTATGTTGAATTTGTAATATTTATAGGGTGATTAATAACAAGACAATACGACATTTAAATGAATAGTATGATGCTAAAATGCAGATAATCAAATATATAAGATTCCATGATTTGGCAATAATGTATTCTCCATTAAAATCAGAAAGACCAACGGAAAGTGGAATATTACCATCCATAGACAATTGTCAAGATTATTTTCGATAAATCATTTAATAAATCAGAGGTCATCAAGGTCACCTATAATGTAAAAGTTGATGTCTGTTTAATTGTGGTTACAAGGCATTATCTGCACCCCCTGTAAAAACAAAGGTGACAACACAGATCCTGAGACCTACAGCGGCATCAGCCAGCAAACTTTCATTCGATCTTTACTAAGGCGGAAAATCTAAGAGTTAATGATTCACTATCAGACTATTTCCCATGCAAAAATTGGGGTCAGACAGGAAGTAAATCTCTCGCCATAACTATTTCGCGTATTTATGATAGACCAAGAAATTTACCTAAAATTTTGCGAAGGACTGAATGAATTCTGTATGGTACCTGATGATTGATATAAACATTCAAAGTGTTGTCCAACATATATATGCTAATGATACAATACTTTTAAGACAAGAAGTAAGAAAGATCTACATGCCGCTCCTGATGATTTTGCATCTGTTTGTATAAGTGAGTGAGTGAATTGGGTTTTACGCCGTTTGGGGGAATATTCCAGCAATATCACGGCGGGGGGACACCAGAAATCGGCTTCACACTCACTGTCTGTTGATATGAAACTTAAAAGTTGATTTATCATACACAAAACTATTGGTATTTTGCTGAATAATATACCCTGCAAAATTAAATATTTTTCCAGGAGTCACTTGATTGTTATCCAGTTAGAGTCCATGCAGGAAGCAAATGTACTGTAAGGTTGTAAATGAATGAGTGTATGATTATAAGCATCATGACACAAATGTCAACTCATTTTGACTTAATTCGACTAACTTAGAGCGATATTAAAATATCTCGCCCATGGGCGAAAAACATTTTGGCCCATGGACGAGAATATTGACTTTTACTCATAATACATGTTTTTCCATGTTTTGAAGAGTGTAAATGAATGAGCGTATGTTTATAAACATCATGACACAAATTTCAATTCATTTTGACTTAATTCGGCTAATTTAGAGCGATATTAAAAAATCTGCTTTATTTACGGTAACATGGATTAGCTAATAGCGCATTGCCGGGAGACCCACATTCACACGATCACTCAACCATACCCATTGCCGGTTGAGCCAAACCATTTTCAACTCTTGTTTTCTTAAAAGTGGCTTTCCCGGGCTATAACTATCAGCACACCCCAATCCGACCATCCGTCATTAATTACCTGTCATGAGCTATCAGTTGTATTGAAAGCTCTCGCCTAGTCACTCCAAATTCACCATAATGTGCGTGACTGTCCTCTCCGACGTCCGCGCCCACCTCTCAACTTAGCAATCTCGATCCACTTTCTGTTCACTATCAAGCCATCTATAACTTCACCTCTCTCTCCAACCACCTATCTTCTCAGAGGTCCGCGCGCCTCTCTATGCCTTCATTATTTCACACCAACTCTACTTCCCAACAACTACTGTCTCCTCCGAGGTCCGCGCGCCTCCAGCCAACACCCACCCCCGCCGCCTCTCAAGCACCAACCATAACAAACTCCACGGTCAAGGCCGCTCATAGCCCCTCAATTACTACACTCGCTCAGCCTGCCTTGTCCCCCTCAATGCTCCCATACCACCCCCTCACTCCACCCACCCTAGATGGACTTACATGGTCCTTTCATACGTTGGCGATTGTGCACAAATTTAGCCATCACTTAAAAACACAAGTATCCTACTATTATTAACCTGGCTAGCTATTCTCGAAACTTCTTAAGTCCTACGAACTTCTTAAGCCCATTCTTAAAACATTGGCTACGATCAAAGTTAAGAATTCTTAGGGCTACGAACGTTTCGAGAATAAGGGCCCTAGTATATCTATATTTACTTCAAATGTTTTGAGACTTACGTACCCTGTCAAGAAGACAAAACTGTGAAACCCGTGAAGGTCCGGGTTAGAATTGGCCTTCAGTAACCCATGCTTATCGTAAGAGGCTACTACCGGGATCGGGTGGTCAGGCTCGCTGACTTGGTTGACACATGTCATCGGTTCCCCGGTGGTTTTTGTCCGGGTGGTTTTTGTCCGGGTGGGTTTTGTCCTGCTCCCCTTCCGAGTTACAACTTGTTTTCATAGACGATTCTGTCGTAATTGCCTGGTGTCGCTGGGCCTTATTTGTTCGAGCCAGACAGACAGATTATTTATTAAAGTCTCACCCCTGTTATACATATATACAAACTAATTAAACATATATTTACATAAGGGCCATTCCATACGGAATTATGAGAGACTAAAATTCTTTAAAAATTGCATGTACATGTATTATGAATAACAATAATTAAAAGTTATATAATACGGATTTTCTCCTTTTTAAAATAACATGGCAGGTTTTGGCAGCTATAAAACAGATATTGCTATTGGACAGGATAAAAAAAAATTCCCCGGTAGTTCTTGTCTGATTGTATTGAAGTATCAAAGCAGTGTGGGCTTTTGCATGTTTTCAAATGCCTGGATGGTATAATGACTGATCATAATTGATCCCATTTCTGTGGGTTTTTTTACCTCGATATTTATTCACGTCATGTAAAAATATGACGTATAATATTAAAAAATGACATTTGATCTATTTGAATCCGTAAACTAAACAACCCCACTTTGCCATTGCTAGAAGACTCAGCAAATGCTTATATGTATTTCTTATGCAACAATGAAGTTCTGTCCGTATTCTCAAAATAGTGTCGGCCCATAGGTTTTCACATGCAATTAAAATTGCATGCAATACAGCAATTAATACTCCCTTGTTGTAACCCGTGTTAGGTGGTACGAGCGTATAAACCTACACATGTTATTTGTCATCATTCACTTGATGATCAGTAAACAGGTATAATTAGTGGAAACACCACTTAAATAACC